GCGACGATGCGACCCCTTCTTGTGCCGCAGTGGCGGCTGGGTCCTGGGACGCCAGCGGCAGCGGCGCATGGGAGGCGCGCAGTCCCGCCACGAGATGGCAGGGCAGGTCCTGGTGGGACTGGAGCTCGAGCGAATGGGGCGCTGATGGCGCGCAGTGGTGGCCCTCTGATCATGCCGCAGTTGCGGACAATGCCCCTGAGGGCTCGCCTCCTCAGCGTGAAGTCGAGTGGGGCTCGAGCGGGCGACCTGCCGAGCGCCCTCCGTGGAGCTTCGAGGGGCAGTGTTGGTGATGGCCGCAGTTGCGGGCAAGTGGAACATGATGTTGATTGCCGCAGTTGCGGACAGTGTACGCTGGAAAAATCACCATCATCATCAATCATAATCATCATCATATCATCATATCATACGTTCAAAGCAGTGCCGGGGCACTGCTTTGAACGCGTTCAAAGCAGTGCCGGGGCACTGCTTTCGATCGTCGCCTCGTCGCCGTTATAAGGGCTTTCGGATTAGGTGGCGAGCGCGCGGTGCGGTAGGCGCCGCGTGCTTGCCGCCTAGGAAATGCGTGGCGTAGGGTACCCTTGCATCCCGGTGCGTACAGTAGCTGGGGGGTTTGAGGGGGGTCTAGCCTACTCTGACCATTGGCGTGTCCGCACGCAAAAAGGTGGGGCAGGGTATGTCTGTATACTGGTTCCCTGTATGCGTATACCCGTCTTCCCCCCTTTGGCCAGGACACGCCGCCCCAACACGTCCGTAGCCTGTTTGGGCTCCCGCCCGCGGTCCACCCCTTCCGTGTTGAGGCACGCTTTCTGCTGGTGCCGTAGCCCAGAAGATAGCGTAGGCCCCCTCCCCAGATTGCTGTATGCGAACGGTGGAGCACCACCTCGCACGCCTTAGGTGGCAAGCGCGCGGTGCGGTAGGCGCCGCGTGCTTGCCGCCTAGGAAATGCGTGGCGTAGGGTACCCTTGCGTCCCGGTGCGTACAGTAGCTGGGGGGTTTGAGGGGGGTCTAGCCTACTCTGACCATTGGCGTGTCCGCGCGCAAAAAGGTGGGGCAGGGTATATATATATATGTATATGCATATGTATATGTATATGTATATGTACATGTATATGTATATGTATAGGTATATGTATATGTGTATGTATATGTATATGTATTTATATGTGTATGTATATGTATATGTATATGCATATGTATATGTATATGTATATGTATGTGTATGTATACGTATATGTATATGTAAATGTTTATCCATATGTACACGTACATGTATATGTATATGCATATGTATATGTATGTATATATATGTATATATATATATGTAGCCCTGTGCACCCACCAATAACTCCCTTTCTCATGATTATACATGACTTTATATATGATTCCCACGATTTTCGGGGGGGGAAGAGGGTTTATGTGGTGGGGGGGGGTGGGTGGGTGGTGGGGAGTGGGGGTGTGGGGGGGGGGGGGGGGGTTTTCGGACTCACTTTTGAGGCTCTTTTTTGAAGACTTTTTGGGCTCCCTTCTACTCAACTCCCTCCGTCTCCAACACAACACCCATTACTCAACAGCCTCCTTCTCCAACACAACACCCGATACTCAACAGGCTCCCTCCCCAAGCTGAACTTGAAACGACCCTTCTACTCAACTCCCTCCGTCTCCAACACAACACCCAGTACTCAACAGCCTCCTTCTCCAACACAACACCCGATACTCAACAGGCTCCCTCCCCAAGCTGAACTTGAAAAGAACCTTCTACTCAACTCCCTCCGTCTCCAACACAACACCCAATACTCAACAGCCTTCTTCTCCAACACAACACCCGATACTCAACAGGCTCCCTCCCCAAGCTGAACTTGAAAAGAACCTTCTACTCAACTCCCTCCGTCTCCAACACAACACCCAGTACTCAACAGCCTCCTTCTCCAACACAACACCCGATTCTCAACAGGCTCCCTCCCCAAACTGCACCAAGAACCCCTCTTTCTCATGATTATATATGAATTTATATATGATTCCCACGATTTTCGGACTCACTTTTGAGGCTCTTTTTTGAAAGACTTGTTGAGCTCCCTTCTATTCAACTCCCTCCGTCTCCAACACAACACCCAGTACTCAACAGCCTCCTTCTCCAACACAAAACCCGATACTGAACAGGCTCCCTCCCCAAGCTGAACTTGAAAAGAACCTTCTACTCAACTCCCTCCGTCTCCAACACAACACCCAGTACTCAACAGCCTCCTTCTCCAACACAACACCCGATACTCAACAGGCTCCTTCCCCAAGCTGAACTTGAAAATAACCTTCTACTCAACTCCCTCCGTCTCCAACACAACACCCAGTACTCAACAGCCTCCTTCTCCAACACAACACCCGATACTCAACAGGCTCCCTCCGTCTCCAACACACACACATGTACTCCAGATCCTACCACCACAACACGACGCGACACCCGAAACTCCAACCGCACCCGCCCCCCTTTTTTCTTGGCATCTTCCAAGAGAAAAGGGGGGTTCATGGTGGGTGCACCGGCATGTATATGTACATGCATGTGTATAGGTATATGTAGATGTACATGTACATATCTATGTATATGTATATGTATATGTACTTGTATAAGTATTTATATATGAATGTGTACATGTATATGTATATGTTTACGTATATGTATATGTTCATGTATATGTTTATGTATATGAATATATACATATACATCTATGTATATGTAGATGCATATGTGTATGTACATGTATATGTATAGGTATATGTATATGTATTTGTGCATGTGCATGTATATGTATGTGTATATGCATGTGTATATGTATATGTTTATGTATATGTATACGTACATGTATGTATTTTTATGTGTATTTGTGTGTACACATGTTTGTATGTATGTATGTATGTACGTATGTACGTATGTACTATGTTTGTATGTGTGTGTATGTATGTACGTATGTATGCATGATTGTATGCACATGTACGTGTATATGTATATGTATATGTATATGTATATGTATGTGCATGTGTATGTGTATGTGTATGTGTATATGCATATGTATGGTCGAGGGTTTGGGCCCCCCCCCGCGCGATCCCCCCCCCCTGTGGGCGTGGGCGTGGCGTTGTGGCTCCCCCCCCCCTGTGGATGTGGTGTGGGTGTGGTGTGTTGCTGTGGGTGTGCGCGGGGTGACGCCATGGTCCTCCTCTCCCCCTCCCTCCCCCCCTGTGGGTGCGGTGTGGGTGCGGCGTGTGGCTGGGATTGGCGTCATGTTGACAACTCCGGTGCTCGACGTCGTCGCCGCCGCCGCTGGTGGTGCCATCGACGTCGTCGTCGTTGTCGTCGTCGTCGTCGTCGCTGTTGTCGTCGTCGTTGTCGGTGTCGTCGTCGTCGTCGTCGTCGTTGCTGTCGTCGTCGTCGTCGTTGTCGTCGTCGTCGTCGTCATTGCCGTCGTCGTCGTCGTCGTCCTCCTCCTCATCCTCCTCCTCCTCCTCCTCCTCTTCCTCCTCCTCCTCCTCCTCCTTCTCCCCCCCCCCGTCCCATCTGGGGGGGGGGCCGGAGGACCCTGGGACCCATCCCATCTGGGGGGGGGGGCCCGAGGATCCGGAGCCCGCGATCATGTATATGTATATGCATATGTACAAATGTATGCACATGCTTATGTTTATACTAATGCTTATGTTTATGCTTGTGTTTATGTTTATGTTTAGGTATATGTATGTGTGTACGTATGTGTATCTGTATATGTATAGGTGCGTGTGTGTATATATATATATATGCGACGACGACGACGAGTGAATCGAACCAGCCTCTCGCACACGCCGGCAGGCAGTGCGTATTTTCGACAGGAACGTGGCCGTCCGGACCGAACATGTACCCCTTGTGAGATAGCGAGCTGTCACTAATGATGAAAAATCCTGGAGGCCTCGCGCGGCTCGTGATAGTTGTATGATCTAGTCCACTCGTCAGCTCCGTGAGCTGTGGGTCGACGCTCGCGCAGCGATGCTCCCGCGTCAGTCCGACGTGAATCCGACGCAATTCCGACGTGGTCCGATGAGAGCCCGACGTGAATCCGACGCGGATCCGACGTACATTGGGTCTTGAGTTGCCGCGCGAGGCATCCAGGGTTTTTCCTCAGAAGCTGCACGGGAAATGCCAAGTCGGGAGTCCGGGGACGTGAGCTTTCGCGGGCCCGCGCGGATTCCCAGGTCGGCTCGGCTTCCCTGGGCGGCGCCTCGGGCGCCGCCTCGGGCGCCGCCGCACGCGCCGGGGGGAGGGGAACGTATGCCGCGCACGCGTGGAAGCCAGCGAGAGAGCGGGGCTGTCAGTTTAGAATCAAGTCGGGCATATCCCTGTACAGGAGGAATATTCAAAAATAAGAAAAATTGTGGTCTGGTGACGATTGCTCGATTACTTTTTTGATCATTTCGATTTGTTTTTTTTCATGACCATTTTTGACTCTCTTGTCCAAGATGCGCCTGTAGGAGGACATGCCCGACCTAAGTCTAGCAGCAACGCAAAGCCACGTGCACCTCCATGTATCGGGGTTGGATAGACCTCCTGCCCTGACGCGTCGATTCAGGAATTGGCCGTTTTCGGTTCGCGAGAGGGCGTCGCGGCCGTCGTTTTTGCGGGTCCAGGCCCATTGGTATCGGTTCCAGGCCGTTTTCACTAAGGGGAGGTTTACTAAAGGGAGGTTTTTCCACCGCCGAATGTACACGCTGCCAGGGATCGTGGCCGCCCGAGCCCGCACAAGGCAGCCGGCCTCCTGCTGGGACCATTTGCTTGTCTGCTGTTGGTTGTTTGGGGTCGCTGGCCCGATAAGTCCGCGACGGCCTCCGGCAGCCCACGACCGGGCCCCTCCTCCTCCTCCTCCTCCTCCTCCTCCTCCTCCTCGTCCTCCTCCTCCTCCTCCTCCTCCTCCTCCCTCTCCTCCCTCTCCTCCCTCTCCTCCCTCTCCTCCCTCTCCTCCCTCTCCTCCCTTCTCCCCCCCTCCGCCCTCCAGGGCGGGGCTGCCCGCGTGGGCGTCGTGCTCCTGAACATCGGGACCCCGAACTCGCTCGACCTCGACGACGTCGCGGACTACCTCGGCCGGTTCCTCGGGGACCGGCGTGTGGTGAGCATCCAGGACCCCGAGGAGATCCTTGGCCGCTCGCCGCGCGGGGTCCGAGCAGCAATGGGGCGGGAGGGTCTCCTCCACCTCATCCTCCTCCTCCTCCCTCTTCCTCCTTTCCTCCTCCTCCTCCTCCTCCTCCTCCTCCTCCTCCTCCTCCTCCTCCTCCTCCTCCCCCGCGCGGGAGGGGAAGAAAAACACACGGACACAATGAATCGTCGACTCCCAGGAAATGCGGGAAGTGTGCGGGGGAAGACGACCACCCAGAAACCATGGGGAAACAGTTTTGATCCCGGGATTTGTGCCTCTTTATTTAATCGCTTCGCTCATTCCGCCGGCCCATATTGTCGCACCGTTGTGGGCTGGCCGAGTTTTGGGGGCCGTTTTGGGGCCTCTTGGGGCCTCTTTTGGGCCTCTTGGGCGCCTCTTGGGGCGTCTTGGGGGCCTCTTGGGGGCCTCTTGGGGCCTTTTTGGGGCCTCCTGGGCGCCTTCTGGGGCGGAGGGCTCGATTTTTCAGTTCTCGGTTCCCCTCTTGAGCCCCTCTTGGGCCCGTCTTGGGGCCTCTTGGTCCGTCTTGGGCGGCACTTGGGCCGTCTTGGGGGCCCTCCTGGGCCGTTCCGGGGCCGTCTTGGGAGCCTCGTGGGCCGTCTTGGAGCGGTCTTGGGGGCCTCTTGGGCCGTCTTGGAGCGTCCGGAAGCCGAAAAAGCCAGAACACAAAAAACATCGAAAAAACCAATGACAATCAACGATTTTGGCCTCTTGGGGCTCTCTTCGGAGGCCTCTTGGAAGGCTCTTGGGGCGTCTTGGAGGCCTCTTGGGCTGTCTTGGGGGCCTTTTGGGCCGTCTTGGGGTCATCTTCGGCGTCTTCGAGCGCTCTTTGGGCGTCTCGGGGGCCTCTTGGGCAGTCTTGGGGGCCTCTTGGGGCACTCTGAGCGCGCTCTGGGGAGCCTGAGAGGCCGCACCCAGAAGGAAAACCATCTCTGAGTAGACTTGGTCGGGCGGTGGTCGGGCGGCGGTCGGGCGGCGGTCGGGCGGCGGTCGGGCGTTGGTCGGGGTACTTTTCGCCGGGGGACCCCCAGGGGCCGCCCCGCGCGCGCGAACTAGAAATACTGGTAATACTGTTAACCAGTTACCGGAGATCTTAGCACGCCCTGGCCCGTTGGGCCGGCGAATTTGTGTGTCCCTGGGCCCCTTGAAATGCATCCGCGATGCGGCTCGACTCGGGGCCCCGTCTCGACGGAGTCAACTCGGGCGCGTCCCTCCACAGCGGGAGTGCTCAAACATAGTAAAGAATAGCCAGGGGACGTCCTTCTGACAATTTTGGGTGATTTGTGCGTACTTTTCTCATGTTTGATTTTTCGTCCAAAATCCGCCTCCAGGAGGACATGCCCGACCTAACAATGGAACCGATGTGTCGGCGACGCCGCGCGGTCCTCCGACCACCACCCGCTCGGGCCCCGTCCGGGCGGCCTCCAGGAGAGGAGCGCGGTGCTGACGGGGGTCCTCGGCGCCCAGCCCGCCAAGTCCGTGGAGAGCTACGCGCGGATCTGGGACCCTGTCCGGGGCTCGCCGCTGCGCTACCACATGCAGGACTCTGCGGGGGGCCAGTGGCGGGTGGGGGTGCTGGCCGAGCAGTTCCTTGGGGTGGAGGGCAAGGGGTGAAATCCGAAATGCCGTTCCGACGGATTTCCGAGGCTCGAGTCCGCAAAAGGTGAGTCACAAGACGGGTTGGCTTTCGAGGTGCGAGCGCCCATACGGCTTTCACCCTGAGCCCTCCACCCTGAGAGAATGCTCAGGCTGGCCCAGGGTGGGCAGCGTCGACCTCGAATCGCCCCGTCCTCGCCGATCGGTTGCCTGGGTGCTCAAGCCCGCGCAGGACCGGGGGGCTTCCACATCGGCGGTGCATCGCGATCTGTCGGCGACGTCTCGTGGCTTCCAGGTCATTGTCTTCGGCAGCAGCTCGTGGGAGCCTTCTATGTCTTCGAAATGCCGTCTTCATATTACATTATCGTGCGCCAGCGTCTGGCAGTCGATGGGAAAGCGCCGAATCAGCACCGATTCGCGTCGATTTAGCGTCGATTTAGCGTCGAACAGCGTCGCTTGGTGTCGATCAGTGTCGGCTAACGTCGACTCGCAAGAGCCAGCAAGATGACATGAGGGGCTCCCGTGAGTTGCCACAGGACGCTGTCCCCTGCCTGAGCCAATCCTCCTTTGTACGCCGGTCGTTGACACTAGGTATTTTTGGATTCCCAGATCCCAATCTTCTTTGGGCGCTCTCCTACTTAATGAGTCGAGTGGTTTCCCTTTCCTTCCTCTTCGGTGGACGGGCGGAAACCCGATCTACTTCAACGCCTTCCTACTTCACGTTTCTACCCGCTTCTTCCGACCGACGGGTATCGTTCTTCCTCGAGGACCTGGCGGCCGCGCTCCAGGGCGAGCTGGGGCCCGCCTTCGAGGTCCACGTCGGGTTCCAGCACTCCGAGCCGTCGGTGGACGCGGCTATGGCGAGGCTGGCGGCCCTGGACGTGGACAGGGTGGGCCGGCGGGGGCCAAATCTGGCGGCGCGAGGGGGTGACCTTGGTCGACTACACGTAGGAGCGACCCTACGCCAGAGTGACCTTCGGTGCGGGTGCCTTCGGGCTCCCGGATGACGGAGCGCGGTGCAGTAGCAGCGACTTGCTCGCTTGGAATTGGCCTCCCCGCGGGCTCCCCTCAAGCCGCGCACCAGAGGCCACTCGCCCAGGGCCGCTCTCGCGTGTAGACGAGAGGGGGTGGCCTTGAGGGGACGCGGCCTTGAGGGGAAGCTGCCCCTCTGAGCAGGACAGGGGGGCTGCGAGGGAGGCGGGGGCTTTCGGGGGCCTCCGAGGAGGGCTCCCAGCGAGGCTCTCAGACAACCTCTCGGAGGCCTCTCGGGGGCTTCCGAGATGCCTTCGCTGGGAGCCTCTGTGCCGTCCCGGGAGGGCTCCCCCGGCCCCGCACTCTGAGGAGCACCCCGCCTTCTCGGAAGGGCGGGTCCCCTCCCGCCATTCTTTCTCGTCCTCGTACGAGATCTCGCCCACGATCCGAGGCGACACTGGACACTCAGCAACGGCAGCAGATGGCAGATCACATGCTTCTCAACTTTGCGTCAAGCGAGGGAGTGTAGGAGCGAGCTGCACCATCGTCCGACGCTTGATGGACTTCCGTATGACGCCGCCCCCGGTGGCGGTGGCGCGCCTCCTGGAGAGGTAATTAGACAGCGCCGCTTTCGACATCGCATACATTGGGGGGAGACATCGGAGGCTCAGGGCATCCCCCAGCGAGCCGGGGATCGCCCCGAGAAGGAGGAGGAGGAGGAGGAGGAGGAGGAGGAGGAGGAGGAGGAGGAGGAAGAGGAGGAGGAGGAGGAGGAGGAGGAGGAGGAGGAGGAGGAGGAGGAGGAGGAGGAGGATGGCCTCCCTCCCCCTTCGTAGCCCGAGGGATCTTCCTCGCCTGCGCGGCGCTTGCGCGGACGGGGTCCGCCGCGCTGCCTCGTGCCGTGGCGGCCTGCTGCTCTGCGCAGGTGGCACGGTCTCCACGTCTAGCGGAGGGGCCTGCGAGCAGCCGAAAGGAGAGGCTGATGGCGGCAACCTAGCGCCACCACCACCATCTCCTCCTCCTCCTCCTCCTCCTCCCTTCCTTCCTCCCTTCCTTCCTTCCTTCCTTCCTTCCTTCCTTTCCTTCCTTCCTTCCCTTCCTTCCTTCCTTCCTTCCTTCCTTCCTTCCTTCCTTCCTTCCTTCCTTCCTTCCTTCCTTCCTTCCTTCCTTCCTTCCTTCCTTCCTTCCTTCCTTCTCCTCCTCCCTCCTCCGACCCTCCCCATCCCCCCCCCTCCCTCCACGATTACTCAGTGTTTGGACTACTCTCCTCGCTTTCCGGGTCCTCTCCATTCGGGGCAGTTTTTCTCCCGCATAATTATCTCTTTTTCTGTTCAGCGTATGGATTTGTATCAGGTGCGTTTTTAGTGCTGGTTCGTTAGTTCGTTTGTTTGATTTTGCTGAAACGTATCAGGAACGGATTTATCAAATGGTGCTCCCGCTGCAGCGTTGGCCTCGTTTTAGGAGCAACGTTTTTTGCTCCCGTCGTTCGGAGTGGCGGTCTCGTTTTAGCTTTGACCTCAATTTTGGATCCGAGCCCTTCCGCGTCGGTGCCGCCCCACTCCTTTCCCTCCCTCCGCCTTCCCCTGGGCCTGCTGCTCCTCTCTCTCCTCCCAACTCCTGCTCCTGCTGCTGCTCCTCGCCCTGCTCCTTCCCCGTCCTTCTCCTCCTCGTCCTGCTCGTCCTCCTGCTCATCCGCCACCTCACCCTGCGATGTGCACAGCTCCCCTGCTCTTGTTGTGCATAACCCGATGGTACTCCTGATTCCATAATAAAGGAGGGGGGTCACATTTGGCGGGGGGGTCTGATTTGAGCTGTCTTGAAGGGTTCGGGGGGGTCTGGGTAAAGTGCCGCCCTTTCCTGGATGGTCCTGGGGGGGTCTAAAACTTCTGGTCTGGGAGGGTTGTGACCCCCTCCCTTTTATTACGAAATCTGGAGTACCCCTCTTGAGGGTCCGGGGTGCGCTATGGCCCCCCCCGGCGGAATAGGAAACGTGAGCGCAATGGGAACGGATGGGTGGGAGGGGTCTGATGTCAGATGTGGTGCGAGCGCACCTAGCCTGCCTCCCTCCCCTCCCCCTCCTCCCCTCCCCCTCCCCTCCCCTCCCCTCCCCTCCCCTCCCCTCCCTCCCCTCCCCCTCCCTCCCCTCCCCTCCCCTCCCCCCTCCCTCTCTCCCTTCCCTCCCTCTCTCCCTCCCCTCCCTTCTCCCCTTCCCTCCTCTCTCCCCCTCCCTCTCTCCCTTCCCTCCCTCTCTCCCTTCCCTCCCTCTCTCCCTTCCCTCCCTCTCTCCCTTCCCTCCCTCTCTCCCTTCCCTCCCTCCCTTCTCTTCCGGCGCTGGAAGTGGGGAGGACTGAGGCGGGCCAGCGTTCAGCAGCAGGGGTAGAGGCGGTCCGCGAGTCCCTCTGCCGGGCTCTGGACGGCGTTGCTGCCCGAGCTCTGGAGGAGAAGGAAGAGGAGGAGGAGGAGGAGGAGGAGGAGGAGGAGGAGAAGGAGGAGGAGGAGGGAGGAGGAGGAGGGAGGAGGAGGCGGAGGCGGAGGAGGAGGAGGAGGAGCAGGAGAGCAGGAGGAGGAGGAGGAGGGGAGGAGGAGGCGGAGGAGGAGGCGAGGAGGAGGAGGAGCGGAGGCGGAGGCGGAGGCGGAGGGAGGCGGAGGCGGGAGGAGGAGGAGGAGGAGGAGGGAGGAGGAGGAGGAGGAGGAGGAGGAGGAGGAGGAGGGGGCGGGCCACCCGGCCGCATCGCTGGGCCCGCCGACCCTGCCAGTTAAGTGGCCCCGCGGAAGCCAGCACAGCCTTCACGTATTCCCCTCGCAGTTTAGGCATGTTCGATTGATGTTATTCTGTGAGTTAACGAGGTGAGGAGGCGAAAGCTGCAGGCAGCGGCGGCTGGGCAGATCGGACGGAAGAGTGGGGGGCCCTTGGGCGGCGGGGGGGGGGCGGTCGCTGCGTCGTCGTGGTGGCGGTCGTGGCCGTCCTGTTGGTAGCCATATCTTGTCGTAGTGGTCATGACAAGTGTCACGCTAATGGTTGTCGTGGTAGTGGTCGAAGAAGTCATGGTAGTGGGCGCGTCGTCGACGTGGTTGTGAGGGTGGTCCTGTCCTGTCGTGGGGTGGTCGTGGTGGTCGTCGTGCTTGTGGTCGTCGTGGGGGTGGTCGTTGGCGCCGTTGTTGGCCTAGCGCACGCGCGCGCCCAGGTGCGTCTCACAATTGCTACTTCCCTCCTTCCCTCCCTGAGGTCCGCACGCATCTTGGGTCGGCGCTGGACCCTTTCACTGGCGTTGACAGGGAAGGATCTGGGCTGCATTTGGGGGAGAGCAAGTATCAAAAACGGCGACAATGGGGATGTCCAAGGGGAATTCTCGCTCGCCGCTGCCCGCCCCTACAGCGGCGCACTCACAACTCATCCTTGGAGGCCTTCGCGGCGGAGGTCTTGACTCCGTTTCCTCTGCCTCCGCCTCCGCCTGTTTATGCCCTCCCTCCCTCCTCCCCGCCTCCATCCCTCCCGCCCCGCTGTTTCCCAAACTCTGGGGCCCTGGACCTCTCGATCCCTTTTCCTGGAGCTGGCTTTTCGTCCCAGATCCTGTGCCTCGACGGCCAGCATAGCGTGAAACCCGCCTCCGGAGGCCGAAAGGGTAAACACATTTCGAGCTCAAGATGTGTTGGAGAGACCTTATGGCCGGCTCCGCCAGCCCTGACATGGGATCTTGGAGGAAAGCCACAGAGATCTCAGGGTTTCGTAGAGGTTCTTTGGAAAGAAAGGTCTCTTAGGATGATAGTTAGAGGTGTTTCTCATGGGGTCTTCCGGAGTCTGTTGGGAGCGCATTGGGGATGTCACAAGGGGGCTTTTGGGAGTCTTTCGGGGGCCAGTTGGCGGCTTCGGAGGGGATTTTACGGGCTCGATATATATATATATATATATATATATGTGTATACACACATATATATAATTATAGGTTTATGTACCTCAAATGCATATGCACACACATATATATAGTTATGCGTCTGTGTATGTTTTGGCAACTCATATGTTTACGCTTATGTGTATGCATATGTGTATGTATACATATATATATATATGTTTGTATCTGTTTGTGTGTATGTGCATGCATAAATGTATAGTTGTTTGTGTAATGCATATGTGCAGGCATATGTATGCATACACGTTTATGTATTCATATATGTATATGTACGTGTGGCTATATATGTATATATCCATATGTGTTTGAATGTATACGTTCAGGTATAAGAAAATGGATGTGTATGTGCCGTGGTATACGTATGCGTACATGCATATGTTTTTATTTATGAATGTGCATGCATACGTATACGTATATGTATATGTATGTGCGTATATGTATGTGTATATGCTTGCACGTATATGTGCATGATCATGAAGCTGTACATGTATATGTTTACGTACATGCATATGTGTATGCATTTTCGTAGGTACGTGTCCGTATGTATGTATACATCCATGTTTGTATGTATGTAGTTGGATGCACATGTGCACAAGCAGTTCGGATGCATGTATATAGATGTGTATATGTATGTATCCGTGCAGGTGCATATGTACGTAGTTGTATAGGGATGTGCATCTCTCTTTGCATAAATGTAGATGTGTGTATATATGTGTATATATATATAGATGTGTCCATTCAGTGTATATATATACACATCCGCATACATGCACATACACGTGTATAATTATGTATACGTATATGCACCTGCGTATGTAAGTATGCATACGTATGCCCGTATGTGTACGATGTAGTTGTATATATACATTTATTTACAAGTACCTGTAAATGTATGTGCATTTGTATGTGCATATGGATATTACTATGTATATGTATATGTCTATGTACATGTAATTTTGTAGGTCTGGTTATTTGTATTTGTATGTGTATTTGTATATGTGCGTACGGATTTACTTATGTGTAGTTGTTTATGTGTGTATGTGTACGTTTAACTCTATACAACCGTACATATAACTATACATGTATATGTATATGTAGTTGTATGTGTGTATATATATATATATCGATGTACATATATATATGTATATGCATATGCATGCGTCTATGTATATGTATATGTTTAGGTATATGTAGAACTGTATATAACCGTACACATTTATATATGCATAGGTATATACATATGTATGTCTAGATACACATGTATATGTACATGTTTATGAATATGCATATGTCTATGCATATGTTTTGGTATATGCATATGTTCATGTGCACATGCACATCATATTTGTACATGTATACGTGTTTGTAGTTGTATTTGCATATGTATATGTATATGTACATGTATATTTAATTACATTTAAATACATATGTATATGTATATGTATGTGTATATGTAGATGTATATGTAGACGCATATGTATTTGTATTTCTATTATTACGCGTGTTTGCATATGCATATGTATATGTATACGTATATGTATATGTGCGTGTGCCTATTATACACACTACAAGCAAATACGCCCCCCTCGGGGCTCGGGCAAATCCGCGGTACCACCATCCTGGGCGTCCAAGAGAGCCCCCAGAGAGCCCGAAGACGGCCCAGGACGCCTCCGAGACAGCCCCAGAGTGCCCTGAGGCTGTCGTGGCCGGCTCCTCGACGGTTCGAAGCCTCCAGGAGCATGCAAGATCGCCCCAACAGGCTTGTAAGAGTCCCCCAAGACATCGGGGGAAGCCCTCGAGATGCCAAGATGGTTGAAGAACCAATGGGAAATCAATGGTTTTCTGTTTTCTTGCGTTTCCACTTCCGACGCGCTTCCTAGCCCTGCGCAAGCCCACCGAGAGTTCCAAGAGGCCCCCACGAGTCGTTTCGAGCGGCGCGAAGTGGTCCCAAGAGGTCACAAGAAGCTCCCATGACGCCCAAGGGGCACCACCGAGGCCCCAACGACGCTCCGAGCAGGCCCCGGCGAGCTCCCACGAGCCGCCCCGGAGGCACCCAGCGCCGAAGAGGGCCCAGAAAGTCCCTCAAGAGCTCCCAAGAGGCCCCCCAGGAAATCTCCAAGATGCCTCCAAGAGGCGTCCAGGGCGGCTTACGTAGGCATGCGCAAGCCTCGGAAGCGTATCGGAGGCGGAAGTGCGAGAGCACAACAATCGCAAGTCTTCTGTGGTTTTTGCAATTATTTGAGCCTTTCGGGGGAATCTTGGTGGGCTCTTGGGGCGATCTTGGTGGTTCTTGGGGGCCTCCAGGGGCAACTTTCCAAAAATGCGATTCCCTCCAATCCGTGTTGATTCCAAACTGGACCCCCGCCCTGTTCCGCAGAGTGCGTTTCCGTTTCCCCCATCCCTCGCTCTCCGTTTTCCTTGCTCTCTCTCCTGTTCTTGATTCTCCCCCGTCTCCCGTTTCTTATCCTTCTCCTTCCTCTCCTGCTCCCTCCTCCCCGCTGTGTTATTTTCCTCCTCCCTCCTCGTTTCTCCGTCGCGCCTTCCCCTCTCCCCCTCCCTCATGGGTTTCCGCCTTCCCCCCTCCTTCATCCTCAGCTCTCTTTTACTCCTTCCTCCATCCGCCGCCCTCACGCAGCATCCTGTCCCACTGAGTGGTATGAGGCCCAGCTTAAAAAAACAGAAATCACTAAATTTTCCTTTTTTCAAGGTCGACCCCATTCGACATTTCGAGCCCAGGCGCCAAGAGCCCTGGGGAGGCCCCTGAGATGCGCGCCGAAGAACTCCCAAGAGACCATCAGAATACTCTACCAAAGATCGAGGAGACCCCACCCCCAGAAACCCCCAATAACACTCCAATAACGTTCCCCAAAGACGACATCCACAGAGACTCCCACCATGGCTATCCCAGACTGTTCGGAGTTCTCGGGCGTCCCCCCGTAGGCTGCCCTGGGTCCTCCACGTGGTTGCCTTGCGCGCCTTCCTGGGGCCTTCCTGGGCGTTTTCCAGAACACAGCAGGGGGAATCGCCCTGCACGCATAAGTATGGTGCGAAGTCGTGCTGGACGTCGCCTCCATTAGAAGAGCGGGCTGCGTCATCTGTCTGGCACCGTGTGTCGTACAACATGCTAATGCTTCCCAGCAAGGCACGGTACGCCCTGCGGGATCCCCAAGGCCGCGCCCGATGTGGCTTCGACCGTACCATCGGCCCCCAGGGTTTCCAAGGGGCTTCCGAAACACCGTCGAGCTAGTCCGAGGGGCCCTTCGGGCGCCCAGAAGATCTTCAAGATCGCGAAAGACGGTCCACAGGCCACGAGCCTCCCAAAGCCTCCCAAAGGTCACCTTCGGGCAGCTGCTCGGTGTGTCTGCTCAGAGCAGCAGGATTTTCGTAGGCCTGCTTATTCAACGACTCCTGAAGCGTCTGTCGGGGAGTACGCTCGCAGATGGTGATCCATGCGAGGGCATGTCCATCCTCATCCAGTCCGATAGGTTGACGTGGACTGCGCTAGAGCCGAATCGCTCGCGAAGCGCGCGTGGTTTTAGTATGTAGATGTACGTATATAGACATACATATACATTTACGCATTCAGACACACACACATACATCTACATATACACGTAATCATACACACATACACACTTGCCCATATACTTACACATCTGTGTATACACATGCATCTACATTTCCATAGGCACATGCATGTGCACATACATACACATTTAATCATACATACACATGCACACGATCATATACATGCGTATATACGTAGATTATACACATGCATATCCACTGTCATACGCATCATCATGTTATTGCATGCGTGTTCGTTGCCATCAACTTATGCATATGCGTATGAGTATGCACTGCTATGGTTACATCCACATACAAACACATCAACATTTACGCATACACATACACACGCCTACTCATATTCATATGACTACCCACATGCATCAACATGTACACTTACACTCGCATATTCACGTACACATACATGTGTATGTACATTTACATATGCATATGCATGCACACATGCGTACATACATACATACATACAACCATGCACACACACATATATATATATATATATATATATATATATATGTGTATGCGTACATACATTTTGTTGTACACGTACTTGAACTATACACCTACATGTACATATACATGCATACTGCATGCGTACCTTCCCTCTTTCTATATATACATATATAGATATACATACACGCGTACATATCCAGCTGCCTACGGCACGTCCCGCCTCAGTGCCTGGGCTGTGGATTATACGCCTAGCGGATGGTCGTTGGAATCTCGTAGGGCGCTTCTCGGGGGCCTGTTGGAGGCAGATTGAGGCGTCTTGGGGGCCGTTTTGGGGCCTCTTGGGGGCCTTTTCGGAGCCTCTTGGGGCCTCTTAGGCACCTCGTGGGGCTTCCTGGGGGCCCCTTGCGGCGAAAAGCTCGGATTTTCGGTTCGTGCTCCCTCTCTGGGGCCCCTTTTTATGGCCGTCTGAGGTCCCTCTTGGGCCGTCTTGGGCGCCTCTTGGGTCGTCTTGGGGCGCTCTGAGGCCATTTTAGGGCCCTCTTGGAGGCCTCGTGAGTTGATTTGGGGTGGTCGTGGGGGCCTCTTGGGCCGTCCTAGAGCGTTGGAAAGCCGAAAAGGCGAGAACGCCCAAGTCCTCCAACAACGCAGGGACAATCACAGATTTTTGCCTTTTGGCCCCCCCTCTTGGGAGACCTGGGCGCCTTGGAAGCCTCTTGCGCCATCTTGAGGCCAGCTTGGGCGTCGTCGAGCGACCGTTCGGCGACTGGCCCTCTTGGACCGTCTTGGCGGCCTCCGGGGCTGCCACGGTGCCTGGGTTGTGGGTTTAGGTCTAGTGGATGTTCGTTGGAATCTCGTGGGAGGCCTCTCGGGGGCCTCTCCGATTTGGGGTGTTTATGGGGGCCTCTTGGGCCGTCATGGAGCGTCGGAAAGTCGAAAAGGCGAGAACGCCAAAACCCTCCAACAACGCAAGGAAAATCAATGATTTTTACCTTTTGGCCGACCTCTTGGGAGACCTCTTGGAGGTCTCTTTGGGCGACTTGGACGCCTCTTGCTCCATCTTGAGGCCATGTCGGGCGTCTTCGAGCGATCGTTCGGCGACTCGGCGCCCCTCGTGGACCGTCTTGGGAGCCTCCTGGGCCGTCATGGAAGCGTTGAAGAGCCTCAGCGAGGCGCCATGGCCGCCCAGGGACCCCCCAGGAGTGTGGCCGGTGCGCGCAACGAGGTGCGGCCCAGAAACAAAAAAAAAGAAGAAGATTACAGAGCCCCTACCAGGCAACACTTGGTACCAGGGCCCGGTGAGGGTTCCCAGAGGCCGGAGTCGGTCAAAAGCGCCGTCGTGTTTGTGCACGGGGCGAGCACGTTTGGGGCTTGGGCCCTCCCGAGGTGGTGCTCGTGCCGATGTTCCCGCACTTCGCGGAGGCGACGGTGGCGGCCTTCCTGGCGAATGCCATGGACACCGCGTCGCGGTTCCACTGCGGCGCGTACCTGCAGGTGCTGCCCCCCTTCTACCGCGAGCCGGGCTTCGTCGACGCCGTGGCCGCCTGCGTCACGGGCGCTGCAGGTCCAGCCTGCGAGAAGGTGTCGGTGGCCAGCCAAAGCAGCCGCCTTCGCCTCGTGGAGCAGTCACGGCGGGTGCCGTTGTCGTGTTTTTGGCCTCCAAAAACCGTCGCGGAGCCCAAGGACCGCCAAGCAACGACTCGGGATAGAAAAGCGGTCCCGCGATGTGGCTCGAGACCTCTGGGGGCCGACGTTGTGGAGATGAGCCCGGCGAAGGGCCCAGTCATCTGCAGTTGTGGGTAAGGCATTTGTAGCATTGTCTGCGGTGGAGCCCCCTATGGGGCCACGAAACATGTGAGAGGTGTGCCGACATGGGTGCGGCGGGCGCATGCGGACGCAGCCACTGGGGCCTTCGGTGGAGCCTCCTATGGGGCCACGAAACGTGTGAGGGGTATGCCGAAATGGGTGCGGCGGGCGCATGCGAACGTAGCCACTGGGGCCTTCGTTGGAGCCTCCTATGGGGCCACGAAGCGTGCGATGTGTGTGTGTGTGTGTGTGTGTGTGTGTGTGTGCCGAAAAGGGTGCGGTGGGCGCATGCGGACGCAGCCACTGGGGCCTTCGGTGGAGCTCCGTATGGGGACAGGAAACGTGTGAGGGTGGTTCCGACATTGGTGTGGCGGGCGCATGCGAAAGCAGCCACTGGGGCCTTCGGTGGAGCCCCCTATGAGGCCACGCAGCGTGTGAGGGGTGTGCCGAAAAGGGTGTGGTGGGCGCATGCGAACGCAGCCACTGAGGCCTTCGGTGGAGCTCCGTATGGGACCACGAAGCATGTGAGAGGTGTGCCGCCATGGGTGCGGTTGGCGCATGCGAACGCAGCCACTGGGGTCTTGGGCAGAGCTCCCCACGGGGCCACGAAACGTGTGAGGGCTGTGCCGACATGGGTTCGGCGGGCGCATGCGATCGCAGCCACTGGAGCCTTGGGTAGAGCTCCCCATGGGGCCACGAAACGTGCGAGGGGTGTGCCGAAAAGGGTGTGGCGAGCGTATGCGAACTGAGCCATTGGGGCCTTCGGCGGAGCTCCCTATCGGGTCACGAAACATGTGAGATGTGTACCGAAATGGGTGCGCCGGGCGCATGCGAACGCAGCCACTGGGGCCTTCGGTGGAGTCCCCTATGGGGCCACGAAGCGTGCGAGGGGTGTGCCGAAACATGTGCCGCGGGCGCATGCGAACGCAGCCGCTGGGACCTTCGTAGAAGCTCTGATGGAGACACGAAGCGTGCGAGGGGTGTGCCGACATGGGTGCGGCGGGCCCATGCGAACGTAGCCACTGGGGCCTTCGGTGGAGCTTCCTATGGGGCCACGAAGCGTGCGAGGTGTGTGTGTGTGTGTGTGTGCCGAAAAGGGTGCGGCGGGCGCATGCGGACGCAGCCACTGGGGCCTTCGGTGGAGCCCCCCATGGGGACAGGAAACGTGTGAGGGGTGTGCCGACATGGGTTCGGCGGGCGCATGCGATCGCAGCCACTGGAGCCTTGGGTAGAGCTCCGCACGGGGCCACTAAACGTGCGAGGGGTGTGCCGAAAAGGGTGTGGCGAGCGTATGCGCACGTAGCGAAACATGTGAGATGTATACCGACATGGGTGCGGCGGGCGCATGCGAACGCAGCCACTGGGGCCTTCGGTGGAGCCCCCCATGGGGCCACGAAACGTGTGAAGGGTGTGCCGAAAAGGGTGTGGCGAGCGCATGCGATCGCAGCCACTGAGGCCCTCGGTGGAGCTCCGTATGGGACCACGAAGCATGTGAGAGGTGTGCCGCCATGGGTGCGGTTGGCGCATGCGAACGCAGCCACTGGTGTCTTGGGTAGAGCTCCCTACGGGGCCACGAAACGTGTGAGGGGTGTGCCGACATGGGTGCGGCTAGCCCATGCGAACGTAGCCACTGGTGCCTTCGGCGGAGGTCCCTATCGGGCCACGAAACATGTGGGAGGTGTGCCGCCGCATGGGTGCGGCGGGCGCATGCGAACGCAGCCACTGAGGCCTTCGGTGGAGCTCGCTCTAGGCCACGAAGCGTGTGAGGGGTATGCCGAAGCAGAGACATGCGGATGGCAGGCGCAAGGGTAGGAGGAGGCATGAGGGGGAACAGGAGTGGGAGGAGGAGGAGGAGGAGGAGGAGGAAGAGGAGGATGAGGATGAGGATGAGGATGAGGAGGAGGAGGAGGAGGAGGAGGAGGAATAAGAAGAATAATAATGAGAATATTAATAATACGACTACGAATGATAATAGTAATACTACTAATAATAAAAAGGATAAACATGCTAATAATAAGCATACTGATAATAATATTATGAAGCAGACTAATAATAATAACCATACTATTAAGAAGACTAATAATCATAATATTATTAATCATAATAATAATATTAATATTAAGAATACCAATACTTCTACTAAGAACAATAATACTAATACTAAGAATAATAATGCTAAGACTAATGCTACTAATAATAATGATACTAATAATAAGAAGACCATTAATAGTACTACTACTACTACTAATATTATTATTAGTAGTAATACTACTACTAATAATACTAATAGTACTAATGATACAAATAATACTACTAATGATAATAATACTAATACTACTAATAATACGAATAATAATATTAATAATATTAATAATAAGCATAATACTAATAATAGTAGTACTAATACTAAAACTAAGAATATGAAACAATAAGAAGAAGAGGGATGATGATGATGATGATGATGATGATGATGATGATGATGATGATGATGATGATGATGATGATGATGATGCTGATGATGATGATGATGATGATGATGATGATGATGATGATGATGATGATGATGATGATGATGATGATGATGATGAGGAGGAGGAGGAGGAGGAGGAGGAGGAGGAGGATTGGAATGTCAAGGCTACGGGTAGGTGGGGTAGGCATCCTGGCGTCCCTCACACTCCCTGGGGGGGGACGGCCAGCCGCCCTGGCTGGCTGCGCGCCGCGCAGCCATTTCGGCCCCCGAGCTTCGCCTGTCTCGTTCGAGCCGCGTGCTGGTGATATCAGTGTGTGATGGAGTTGGCTCCTTGTTCGACGCACTCGAGTGCTTCACTCCGCTGATTGATGGCCACGCTTGCGAGCGGGAGCAGAGTCTCCGAGATCTCGCCGCGAAGCGCTGGCCAGGCGTGGACCGGAGCGCAGACGCGGCGCAGCTCACGATGGAGACCGTGGTGGCGAAGATTGACAGGGTGGCTCCCGACCTGGTGCTCATGGGAGGGGCGCCCCCGTGCCCGAGTTAGTCACGCCTGACTGGCACTGCCAGAAGTCGAGAGGTCGGCGCCGCTGCGGGCCTTTCTCGGGCTGCGGACTGGCATTGCCGACCTGCCGCCGCGCAGGCCTGCAATTCCGATGGATGCTCAGACTTGCACGATGCATCAGCTTCCCTGGGCGTTGCAGACCTCCCAGCCAGTTCCCCCGGCAGCTGCCCCTGAACCGCCGCTTCTGAGCGCTGGCCCGGCCGTCTTGCGCGTCGCTCAGTAGCTAATCAGGCTGACCCCCGCCCCGGACCCCCCTATCGGCGACAGCTTCACGCGTCTGCCCGCGACCAAAAAAGTAATCCCACCAGAGCTCGTAGCCCGAGCTGACTTGTGACGCTGCTGGCGCCTTCGCCTGCGGCTGCGACGGAACAAAAAAACCCACCAGCCCATGCAGAAACGACGCTCAGAGGAATTGCCTCGATCAGCGAAGTGGGCAGCACACAGAGGAAGGGTCCCCCAGTGGAGGCCTCTTGGAGCATCTTGGGGGCCTCTTGGCGGTCCCGGGCGCCTCTTAAAGCGTCTGGGGTGCCTCGGAAAGCTTCTTGGGGCCTCTTGGGGGTCTCTTGGGAGCCTCTTGGAGGCCTCTTGGGTGCCTGTTGGGGCCTCCTGGGGCCTCCTGGGCGCCTCTTGGAGACCTCCTGAAGCGCTCTTGGGAGCCTTGGGAGCGTTCTTGGAGCCCTCTTGGGCCATCTTGGAACCATCTTGATGCCTCGGATGGCCATCGGAAGCGAAAAGGCGAGAAAACCAAAAACATTGTTTTCCAATGGTTTTGGAAGGATGTTGGCCTCTTCGGGGCTTCCTGGGGGAGCTCTTTGGCCATTCGGAGCCGTCTTGGAGCGGTCTTGGGGCCTCTTAGAGCATCGTGGGAGCCATCTTGAGGCATCTTGGGATATCTTGAGCCATCTTGGAGGTCATCTTGGGCTCTCCCAGGCGCTCTTGGAGTCATCTGAAGCAGCGCCCCCCCCCCCCCCCCCAGGAGGCCAACATGTGGCCAAAACCTTAGTGAAAATCAGTGATTTTGGCATTATCGCCGAGGCCTCTTGGGTCCTCTTGGGGGTCTCTTGGGAGCCTCTTGGGGGCCTCTTGGGGCCTCCTGGCCACCTCTCGGGGCCCTATCAAACAAGAGGGGAGCTTCAATTCCCCCCCCCCCAAGAGGCCAACATGGCGCCCAAACCTTGGTAAAACCAATGATTTTGGCTTCCTCGCCGAGTCCGTTTTGGACGCTCCAACCCCTCGCGAACCCCTCGCGACCCCCCCCTTCCGAACCCCCCCATCGCGAGACTCCCTCCCCGCCCGCAAGCCGTCTCGCTCACTCCCACCCGCCCTCCCGACACATACGTAGCACCCGAGCCTGGCCCGAGCCGCAGCAGATTCAGCGGTCGTCTTTGGAAGGGCAGCTACTGGGGGCGAATCCGCCGCCTCCGCCGCCGCCTCCGTCGCCGCCCCGCCGCCGCCGCCGCCCGCCGCCGCTGCCGCCGCGCCGCCGCCGCCGTCGCCGCCGCCGCTGCCCCGCCGCCGCCCCGCGCCGCCGCGCCGCCGTCGCCGCGCCGCCGCCGCCGCCGCGCCGCCACCGCCGCCGCCGCCGCCGCCGCCGCCGTCGCCCCCGGTGCCGAATCGCCGCTGCCGCAGCCGCTGCCGCCGCAGCCGCCGCCGCCGCCACCGCCGCCGCCGCCGCCGCAGCCGCCGCTGCCCCCGCTGCCACCGCCGCCACCGCCGCCGCCGCCGCAGTCGCCGCAGCCGCTGCCC